CTTGATAAGCATATGAGCAACATGGATGAGAAGTCCAGTGAGGAAACTGAGATTTGTTTTGCTTTATATTTTGAGACAGGGTCTCATGTAGATCAGGCTGGTCTTGAATTTGTTTTGTAGCCAAGTATGACCTTGAACTTCTGACCCCTTGCCTTCTCTTTCTGAATGTCTGGATTGCAGCTATGCACCACCACAGTCAGTGGTGTATGGTGCTGGGGATGAAACCCAGGACAAACACTGCCAACTGAGCTGTGTCCTTGGTCTGCAGCTTGAGATCCTGACAATTAAAAACAAGCAGAAGTGCTAGAAATGAAAAAACCCAATGAATCAAATGAAAAAGCTCCTCAGAGAGCACCACCAGTAGAAGAGGTGAGAGAGAATATTGGGAATGGAGGACACGGTCAGAGGACTTTTACATTCAGACATTAATAAAGAGAAAAGTTAAGTATGACCACAACATTTTATTTTGAGAACTTTTTTTTATTGAGCTTTTAAAATTTCATTCATTTCCCACTCACATCCAGACCCCCTCCCCCATCCATGCCTCCCCCCATCCCTCCACTGAACCCTATGTACTCTGCCATACATGCTGAGTCCTATTTATTCAGGTGTTTGTACCCAAATGTCCTTCAGTGTAAATGCGTCCACTGGAGTCTAGTCAGCCCATCCAGTGGAAGTCATACTCTCCCTCACCCAGCAGCAACCAGTCTCAAATGGTTCTCAATCTAGTGCTGGCCTGCAACCTATTTCTCATCTCCCCTTAGGGCCCTTGTTTAATTGAGCTGACATGGATCTGCTGCTGCAGGTGGAGGAAGCCTCTACCTCTTTATGTTCATGAACCAGCCCTGGCTTTTACAATCTTTTCACTGCCTGAGCCGTGGGCAGGTGAGGTTCCATATAGGAGTCCCGTCCTGTACTCTACAGTCTCTTATTCTCCAAAACTTCGCCAGTTGTGGCCTTTTGTGTGTATTGCACTCTGATGTACAAGGAAGCCTCACTGGTGAGAGTTGAGGGGTGCCTTAGCCCTCTCTCTACCCCTTATTCCACTGTGTTCCATGAGCCTTGGTTGTAGAGATTCGACTGCAGTTGTGTATGACCACAACTTTTTAACAATTATGGGGCATGATCCAGAGGCCAGACTTAAGGAATCCATGTGGTACAAGAAAGTGCTAAAAATCAAACTGTAGGTACAGAAAACCTATTTAATGGGATTATAGTAGAAAATTCCACAAATCTAAGGAAATGGACATCTAACCAAAGAAGCCGTTAGGACCTTAAAAAATGAACATGGCCAGAAGAGAATCTCTCTCTCCATGATACATAATGGTTAAAATGCTAGGATTGTATAGTAAAGAGACACTATTAAAAGCTGCAAGAGAAAAATGCTAATTCACTTACAAAGGCAACCCCATCAAAATAACATCAGACCTGTCAGCAGAAACTCTAAAAGTCAGGAAAGTATGGAATGGTATATTGTAAGCACTGAAAGAAAATAACTGCTGACTGAGATTACTATATCCAACAAAGTTATCTTTTAAAATTGAAGGAGAGATAGGCTTTTAAGGACAAGTACAAACTACATCTCATTCTGTACAAAAATCAATAAGAAAATAAACCAAAGGCTTCAATGTAATATTTGAAAATTGGAAACTGCTGGAAGTAAACAGTAATAGGCATAAGATACAGACATAGGCAGACTTTCCGAATAGGACCCTCGCAGCCCGGGCTATAACAGCCAGAATTTTTAAATGAGATTGCTTGAAATAAGAAACTTTTGAAAAATAATTATAGGACAAAGCCTACAGAATGGGAGAAAATATTTTCCAGGTATACATAACTCAGTGTTATAATAGAGATAGCCAGTATATAAAAAAATATTCCCTCAGGGGCTGGAGAGATGGCTCAGCAGTTAAGAACACTGGTTGTTCTTGCAGAAGACCCAGGTTCGAATCCCAGCTCCCACATGGCAGCTAACAACTGTCCGTAATTCCAGTCCCAGGGTCCCCAACAGCCTCTTCTGACCTCTGCAGGCATTGCACGACATGGGTGCACTTACCCACATACAGACAATACATGCATATACCTAAAATAAAAATAATAAATAAAATTAAAAAAAAAATCCCTGCCAGGCATAATGGTGCGCATCTTTAATCCTAGCACTCGGAGGCAGAGGCAGAGGCGGGTGAATCTCTGTGAGATTCAGGCTAGCTTGGCCTACATAGTGAATTCCAGGCTAGCTAGGGGCTACAGGAAGGTTCTGTCTCAAAAAAAAAAAAAAAAAAAATCCCCTGTATTAAATACTAAAACCTCAAATAATATAAGTAATAAATGGGTAATTGAAATGAACAGACAATTCTCTAAAGGTAAATGCAAACGGCCAATAAGTATGTGAAAAAAAGTGCATTGTTTGTAGCGATCAGGGAAACGCAAATTAATGATATGTTGGGATTCTTTCTTACCCAGGCAGAATGGTTACCATTAAGAAAGAAAACAAAGGCTGAAGAGAATGTGGGAAAAAGAACTTTTATAAATGGTTGGTGTGAGTATATGTTAGTGCTTTATTGTGGAAATCAGAATGGAAATTCCAGATTAAGCTAAAAATGGAAGTACCATTTAATCCAGCTGGGACTGTGCCCAGAGGAATCTAAGTCAGTGTACTACAGTGGTACCTTCACATCCATGTTTGTTGTAGTATTAACAGTAGCCAAGTTAGGAAATCAGCCTTGATGTCCATTAACAGATGATTGGATAAAGAAAGTGCGGTATACATACACATTCAGCTATAAAGAAGAATGAAATTACAGCATTTGCAAGAAGATAATTCAGCTAAGTGCAGTAAGCCAAACTTAGACAAATATTACATATTTTTTCTCATGTGGAATATTGATTTTTAAAAATACATGTTAATGACATGGAAGTATAAGGGGTACTATTTGGTAAGAAGAAGGGGACAGCCAGAGGGAAATGGAGGACAAGAGAAGGCAGTGAGTGTATGTGACATACTTGCATGAAAAAGTCACAACGAAGCCCCTCATTTTGTATAATAAATATCTGCTAATAAAAGGCATGTAATGTACCAGTGACCTTGAATTGATATTCTTGCCATTAACTGATTGAAGGAGCAATACTAATGTAGATGAGGGTATCTTATATGTGTGTGGTGCTTAATGTTCTTAAAAGTGCTTTTGCATGTGAAAGTGGTACTTTCCAGACAGTAGTTTTGATAGAGAATTGTATTTTAGAATTATGTACTCAGATTCCAATGCTATTTTTTGAGTGTCCAGAAATTCCTGGTATTTGGGTGGAAAGTGGTGGTACAGGGAGTGGTCTGAGAGGCCATTGAGGATGGAGTCCTTCCTCAGGTCAGCTTTGGGTGTCGCCTACCCTTTCTCTGGTAACCCTAGAAATAGAAACATCAGCTGTGTCCTTCCTTAGGAGTTAAAATACCATATAAAAAGATACCAGGGCTTTGTTGAGGCCTCTTAGGGAAAAGCTGCTTCTTGCTGGTCAAAAGAATGGAATCTACTTTTGGCTCTGGGTGGAGACATGGCATTCTGATTTGTTCCAAAGATTAGAACATTATATAGTATTTTCTCCTCCCTTAAGAGATAAAATACAGTTGGGCCTGTTGATCATCTGGCTAGTAGACCACCTCACAGGAAATATGGTTCACTTGAAGACATGCTAAGTAGATGGAAGAAAAATTATGTCTTTAATGAGAGAATGGATTTATCCTTCTCAGAAGTCCCTCCTTGGCTTCCTTCAAAAGGCACTGCTAGGCCTATTTGCCTTTTGAGTTCTAACTCAAAAACGCACAGCTTTCCTTTCTTTCTGCTCTTCTTTTGGATACTGGCCAAAAGCCTGCATGCTTTCCAGATTCTCTGGGGTTGGCCGCTCTCCCTGAAGACCTCCACCATGCAGCTGCTTGTCAACCTCCATTGCCTAGCTCACTAGCTTGCTTGACCGCTAACTCAAAGAAGCATGACTTTCTCTTTTCTGTCACCCTCTTCTCAGTAGCTGCTAAGATTTATGCCTTGCCTGCCATGTTGTTTTTTCTGAAACTCTGATAAGATTGTCCTTGAACTTCCTTCTGAGTCTATTTAAAGTTTTTTTTTTTTTTTAATCTGTGGGACTAAAGAACCCCTAAAAGGGAATCCTGATTTCCCCAGCAGCAGCAGTACTTTCTAAAACAAGGGTCTTTGATAAAGAATTATACACCCAGATTCCAATAGTAATTTTAAGTGGCCATGAATTCTTGGAAATGTGTGTGTGTCTGTGTGTGTGTCCATGTCCATGTAAGTTGGTGAGGGAAAGGTAGAAAGACGGATCCCTTAAAGGCTTGAGTTAAGAATGATGATTCTAGGTTAGTTATTATGGTATTACCTTTGATACACATGTGAATTTTGTTTTATCCTCCAATAATGATTTCTGAGTTTAGTTGGAAAAAGAAACAAATATTTAAATAGATTACTCATAATTATTTTCTTTGAATAGTACAATATTTGAAAACCGCTTGAAAATTGAAGAAATAAAATGCAGCCACCTAGTGGATATAACTTTAAGAGCAATATCCAATAGTTTAAGTACCATGAGCTCAAATAAATATCTCTCAAGGGTCATTAGTAGGTGTTCAAGGTGATCAGCTCTTATCACACAAAGGGACCATATTCATTTGTCTTACTAAACACTTAAAATTTTAAAGACAGAAGAAAATACACATGACAGTTGAACTGTAACATTATAGAAAGACTCTCAGAAGTCATTTGAACTAGCAGAATATTCTACTGTCCTATACATAATTTTAGTTGCAATATTTATTAAGATTTATTAAATTATAATACCTCAGCAGTGTTTAAAAACATTGGGGAAAACCTCTCTGGCCTGTGAAAGTTAATCTGTTGTTAAACTGAAATACAGATTTACTTAGTGCCTTCTGTAGAGGAACTTTTAGTTATTGATGGCTTGCAAACTTTATTGAATCCAAAATGATTATTTTCCAGGAGCAAGATAATGCTGTACAAAGCATGCAGAAAAAAGTAGAGCAATTAGAAGCAGAGCATATGGACTGCTCTGACCTTTTACAGCGGCAAACAACTGAACTTGAATTTAGCACTCAAAGAGAAGAACGTCTTAGAAAAGAATTTGAGGTATGGCTTATCAGTTTTTATAGCTTATGTGTGTTATTCATGCAGTGATTTAAGGCTATAGAACATTTTAAGTCAGAAAAAATGTGCAGCTAACTTTAGTGTCACTTATTTGGCTTCTTTGAAAACATATATCTGAATATTTTTCATTTTCTCTCTAATTTTTAAAAGCTTGCACTTTTTTACATTTATTTATTTGTGTTTGTATGTATGTATGTAATTGTAGTGTCACAGAGCACATGTGGAGATCAGAGCATAACTTGCAGGAGTTGGTTCTCTCCTCCCACCATGTGATTTCTGGGGAATCAAACTCAGGTCGTCATGCTTGGTAGCAAGCACCTTTACCTGCTGGGTCATCTCGCAGACTGTATGTGCTCATTTAAAAAAAAATTTACTATTTTTAGTTTATGTGTATGAGTTGCCTGCGTGTATGTGAGTGCACCCATGTCATGCAATGCCGCGGAGGTCAGAAGAGGGCTTCGGATTCCCCTGGAACTGGAGTTAAGGACAGTTCCTAGCCGCCATGTGGGTGCTGGGAATTGAACCTGGGTCCTCTGCAAGAGCAGTCAGTGCTCTTAACCTCTGAGCCATCTCTGTATGTGCTCAGTTTTAAACAGGTAATACGGACTATTTGGAAAGTTTGGGAATAATTGTTTACATTTTGAGGTTTAGGAATCAACACTGGAAAAAGTTTGGTATAAACAAGTGTTAAATGATACGAGTAATATAAAACTCTACTTTTGTAATTTGAATGATTTTTACTAACAAGTTTTGTGGAAAGCTTTAAGGTACAACTTTAAACGAGAAAAGAGCATGAATTTACAAATGAAAAATATGACTTTATGATTGAACAACACAAAATTAATCTTGAGAGAAGTGTAATTGTTTAATCAATTTGTCTTATTTTTAAAATTAAAATTTATTTATTTTTATTTAATGTGTAAGAGTATTTTGCCTGCATGTACGTAGGTGCACCCATGTAGATCATAAAAGAGGAATTATTGGACTGGTTTACACAATAGAGGCTGGGTAATCCGACAGTGAGTGTCTGCACATTGGAGAGGCAGTGAACCATGTTACCAATTCAAGAAGTAGGACACCTCAGCACCAAATCCAGAGTTAAATCCAAGAAGCTATAGCGAGAGTCTCTGGTATCGAGTCCTTGTTGAAAGGCTGTAGAAACTGGAGTGTGATCATGGGCCTCAGCTGTGGCAGACAAGGTCGCTTGGAAAAGAAATGGACTTGAAGGCTGGGGTTCTGTCTTCCTCTGATCTGCCTTCCTCATCTGGGCAGCCTGCCTGTTTAAATGTGCCACCCCATTCAGGGAAAGTCCTTTCTTCCAAGTCCCTCTCTCACATGCCAATCTTTCTTTGAAATGCTCCCACAAACACACAGGTAAATTTCACCAGTCCTCGGTAGCTCTTAACCAAGTCAAGCTGATAACTAAGACCTACTAACGTACCCACTAATTCTATTTATACCCATGAGAATGATACCATATTCACATAAAAATTTATACATGCATGTTCATTGTAGCACTGTTACTAGCAGTCAAAATGTGGAAATAACACAAATGTCCACTGACTAATGTATATATACACAAAATGTGGAGTATGATGGAATATTACGGTCATAAGGAACAGAGTAATGCTTCATGTCTGGGCTTTGCAACCATTATGCAACCTTCTCTCCAGCCCCATAATCTCATTTCTTTCAGTCACTCTTTAACTTCATACAAAATTACATTATTTGGGGGCTGGAGAGATGGCTCAGTGGTTAAGAGCACTGACTGCTCTTGCAAAGGATCTGGGTTCAAATCCCAGTACCCACATGGCGGCTAACAACCATTTGTGTACCTCCAGTTCCAGGGGATCCAGTGCCTTCTTCTGACCTCTGTGAGCATTTCACAACATGGGTGCACTTACGCACATGCAGGCAATGCAGTCATAAAAAATAAAAATAAAATGAATAATATATATATATATATATATATATGAAAAATGAGATTATACCCTAAGTTATATTTTAAACTTTTCACTTGTTCAGCATCTTTTCTGGTCAATTCAAGAATGTATGAAAGCTAGGTATGGTGGCGCTTGCCTTTAATCCCAGCACTCGGGAGGCAGAGGCAGGCGGATCTCTGTGAGTTCAAGACCAGCCTGGTCTACATAGTGAGTTCCAGGACAGCAGGGGCTACAAGGAGACTCTATCTCAAAAAGACCAAAAAAAAAAAAAAAAAAAGGATGTATGACAGTATATTATATATTTAAAAAATATTACATTGGGAGAGATGGCTCAGTGGTTAAAAGCACTGATTGCTGTTGCAGAGGACTTGAGTTCAATTTCCAGCACCCACATGGTGGTTAACAACCATCTGTAGCTCTAGTTCCAGGGAATCTGGCACCTTTTTCTGACCTCTGAGGGCATTGCATGACACGGGTGCACTTACACACATGCAGGTAATACACTCATACACATAAGATAAAAAAATAAATAAAATATTCAAAAAATACTATATTGGGGGCTGGAGAGATGGCTCAGTGGTTAAAAGCACTGACTTCTCTTGCAGAGGACCCAGGTTTGATTCTCAACACCCACATGGCAGCTAACAACCATCTGTAACTTCACTTCCGGGGATCCAGCACCTTCTTCTGACCTCCGTGGGCATTGCAAGACATGGGTACACTTACACACATGCAGGCAATACTCATATACATAAAATTAAAAAAAAATTAAAAATACTGTATGGTTTTATATGGCTTGTTAAAGATAGAGCTAATGCTCTGAATGTTAGAATAAAACCATCATGTCATGATGCTATAAAACCCTATGATTGCCGGCCGTGGTGGCGCATGCCTTTAATCCTAGCACTCGGGAGGCAGAGGCAGGCGGATCTCTGTGAGTTCAAGGCCAGCCTGGTCTACATAGTGAGTTCCAGGACAGCTGGGGCTACAGGGAGACCCTGCTTCAAAAAAACAAAAAAACAACAACAACAAAAAAAACAAACCCTATGATCACCTTTAAAAAAATTTAATTGCTCTGTAGTCATGAAGAAGTAGTAGGTAGTAGTGGGTTTATGTTGCTCATTTTATTTATTTTAAAAAATATTTACTTATTTTATGTGTATAAGTGTTTGCTTGCATGTAGGTATGTGTGCCATGTGTGTGCCTGGTGCCTGTGAAAACCAGAAGAGAGTGTTGAATCCCCTGGAACTGGAGTTACAGACAGTTGAGTTGCTGCATGGGTGCTGGGAACGGAACCCAGGTTCTCTGCAAGAGCAGTAAATGTTCTTAATCTCTGAGCTACCTCTCCATCTCCCTCTTTATTTTTATTTTTTCTTTTTGGTCTTTTTGAGAGAGGGTCTCCCTGTAGCCCCCAGCTGTCCTGGAACTCACTATGTAGACCAGGCTGGCCTTGAACTCACAGAGATCCGCCTGCCTCTGCCTCCTTAGATTAAAGGCATGCACCACCATGCTCGGCTATTTTTCTTTAATTTTTAAATTACATTTATTTATTTGTGAGTTTGTGTGTATATGTGTGGGCATGCATGTGCCATGGTGTATGTACTGGAATACAACTTGTAGAGAATTTGGTTTTCTCCTTCCTTCATGTAGGTCCCAAGGATCAAACTCAGCTTGTCAGGTTTGGCCTGGGCCTTTACTTGCTGAGTCATCTTACTAGCCCTTGTTGCTAACTTTTGGTTAGCCAGTTTTGACTCACTTGAGAACAAGTTTATTGCCCCAAGTTTAAGATGTATTTTGTGAATATTTTCTATTGATTTTTTTTCCTGTGAAGTATTTAACTACTGTGATATCTTTTTTTATTGACTAATGTTATAGATCTACAATTATTCTAGAATGACATTCTATGGTTTTTCTTAGTTACTTGGTGTGTTATTCACTTTCTTTTTGTCACTGTGTGTAAAGTACGTGAAAGAAGCAACTTTAGAGAGAAAGTATTTACTTAGGTTATGGGTTAAGGTGAGATCATGGCAGGGAAAGCATGGTACTGGGAGTGGCTCTGGCTGTGGCAGGGAGTTTGAGGTGGCTGATTGCATGTCGCATCAGCTCAGTGGTCAGGAAGCAGAGGGAACTGGAAGAAACCAGGCTGGGCTATAGTGTATAGTGTTCAGAGTCCCAGCCTCCATGAAGGCTTATAGCCCCCAAACAGGGCAGCCTGCTGGGGCACAATCTCCTTTCCCTCCCCTCCCCTCCCCTCCCCTTCCCTCCCCTTCCCTTCCCTTCCCTTTTTCCCTTCCTTTCCTCTTCCGTTTTTAAATTTTATTTTGGTCTTTGGAGACAGGTTTTACTATGTAGTCCTGGCTGGCCTGGAACTTCCTCTGTACCGGCTGGCCTGGAACTTGTGATTCTCTTTGTCTCTGCCAGAGAGAGAGAGAGAGAGTGAGAGTGAGTTGTGGGCCTGCACTTACACAGTGTACATGTGGGAGTCAGAGGACAACTTAGAGGAATTGGTTCTTTCTACCTTGTGGGTTCTGGAGATTAAGCTCAGGTTGTCCAGCCTGGTGGCAAACACCTTTTCCCACTGAGGCGTCTTCCCCACCCCACAGTCTTTATTTTCCTTCTATTATAAAATATGGGGCAGGTGCTATCTACTCATCTACTTTTTTTTTTTGTATTTACATATCTTTAAAATTTTTTGAAATAAATATATTTTGTATTAGCTGTTTGACCAGATGTGACATAATGAATGAAAA